ACAACAACAAAAAGCGGGAGACGTTTAGAAATTCAGATTCCAGTGTCTCTTGAAACCTTGCAAGTTCTGGCTGCCTCAGGCCTGCCTTCCCCCAGACCCCACTCCCTGGGAGCCCCTGAGTTCTGTGACCTGCCTGCCCCAGTGTCTGCCCCCGGGCTCTGAGGCCGTGTCCCTCCCACGGGTTTCCTCTCCCCACCGATGGACAGCCAAACAGCCCCATGGCTGCTCTTGCCCACTAGAACCTGGAACTACCCTGCCCAGCACCCCCTCCCCAACCTCCTCACATGTCAGATGATGAAACAGAACAGAAGGGTTAGGAGGGGTCTGCAACCTTTAAGACATAAAGAGCCACTTGGACCCGTTTCCAAAGGAAAAAAACAAACAAACCTGGGAGCCGCAAAATAGTTGCGACATTTAAAACAAATATAACACTGCATACATTGTTTCTTACCTTAATGCTATATACCGGATCGTGCAGTTCGCTGTCAATCTGAAGGAAAAAAGGACTTTTTCTCTTAACAATGTAAAATATATTTTTGCAAATTAATAGCTAATTAAAATATTTAATTTACCTGGTTAATGGGATTTTTGCTCCTGAACCTCAGTGTACCGTGTCAGCACATCAGGGCTGTAAGACGTTACCTTCATTTTCACACAGGCTTGCAAGTTGTTGGAGCCACGGTAAAGCTTCAAAAGAGCCGCATGCGGCTCTGGAGCTGTAGGTTGCCGACACCTGGGTTAGGTGATTCCCCCAGTGCCACACAGCGAACCTGCAAGGGTCTGACCCAGCCCAGGGAGGGGAGGATTAAAGGCAGACTTGGGGTGACTCTCTGGGTTGATGGGAGAGCGGGTTTTGGGTCATCCTGGAGGAGGCCTTGGAGAACATTGCACAGAGGGGAGGACTGAGGTCCCATTGCACAGAGGGGAAGACTGAGGTCTAAAGGTCTAACGTGTTCTGCTCAGGGACCCTCAGTCTCCGAGGAGCAGGAGTGCAGCTCCACGAGGCACCTGGGCCTCCCCCTTCGGCTCCGCCCGTCTCTGACAGGTGGGTGGGGCGCACATTGGCACCAGGCCCTTATCTGCCGGGCACCATGCCTGGTGCTTACGTGTAGATACATCCTTATCTCGCCGGGCCTTCCGCCTCTGGGAACTGCACACACTACGAAGACCCAAGGTCTCCAGGCACAGAGAACGGACCGGAAAACCCAGATTGACACTTACTAGAGCGGCTGGGGTGGTAGAACAGGTATTGAGTGTTAAGTCTACACTCAGTACCTATTGGGTGCTGCTCTAAGTACTTATATACAGGTGGGCAGAAGTATGTTTACCGTGGCCTTGTGAGATCCCTTTGGGTTATTAAAGCTCTTGTAATAATCCTCACCTGCATGTCGTTTTTTCCATATGAACAACCGTAAACCTGCTTTTGCCCACCTCCTATACATTTCTCCATCGACATCCCAGGAGGTAGGCACACTTTGAAGAATAGGGCAGGGAGGCACAGAGAGGTCCAGCCACTTGCCCAAAGTCATGCATCGAGGGTGGTTAGCAGGATCGGAGCTTGAACCCACGGAGTTAACAGGCCAGCGTCCCAGTTACACCAGATCGGGACATCCGCCCGCAGGTTCAGAGAGCAGCCAAGAGGGATGTATTAGTTTCCTGGCGCTGCCGTAACAAAATGCCCCGCACCGGATGGCTTAAAGCCACAGAAACGTATTCGCTCGCCGTTCTGGAGGCTGGAAGTCCAAAATCAAGGTGGTGGCAGGGGCGGTTCCTTCTGGAGGGTCTGGAGGAGAATCTGAGTCAGGCCTCGCAGCTGCTTGTGGTTCAGGCCGGCAGCCCTTGGTGCTCCTTGGTTTGGAGACACATCCCTCCAGTCTCTTCCCCTCTGTCTTCACGTGGCCTTCTGTCTCCGTGTCTCTGTGTCCAGTTTCCCTCTTGGAAGGACACCAGTCCCTGGATGAGGGCCCGCCCTCACCTCGGAATGCCTCTCGGTCTGGCACTGGTGACGGATCTCTCTCTTCTCTGCAGGTGACTTTAACAGAAATGGCTCTGTTTCCACTTGCTTAGAAATTCCTTGGGAGCTGCAAAAGCCCCGTGGCATATGTGAATGTGCCTTTTTTTTATTTTTTTGGACAGTCTTCATTTAAAGAGAAAATTCACATCTGAAATCTTTATGTTTTGAGAGAGAGAGAGAGAGAGAGAGAGAGAGAGAGAGAGAGAGAGAGAGAGAAAGAGAAAAGGGGGGGGGGGGGAGGGAGGGGAGCTGCACCTTTAAGATTTCCAGAGAGTTCTCTCTGTCGATAGCACTTAGCTGAGGAGGTGCTGCAGGGGCCTCAGAGTTTAGGAGTGAGGACAGGAGGTTTGGTTGTGGTGTGTGTGTGTGTGTGTGTGTGTGTGTGTGTGTGTGTGTGATGGTGGTGTAGGCAGCAGGAACATCACCAGGTGTCTGACCAATGGGGCCAGACCAAACCTGGGTTCGGCAACCTCGGTCCTTGGGTTCTGGCTAGAAAATGATTCAGAGCGAGACCCAAACTGTGAGAGAACATCTATGGGGTAAGTTGCAGAGGCAGAAGCAGCAATTCCTGGGAGAAATGGGCTTAGCAAACAGGTTCCAGAGGTAAAGGCAGGGCCTGGGAGTGGGGAAGCAGAGGGTCAGGTGCAGGGCGGGAGGTGGGGAAAGGGGAAAGGCACGGGGCTTGCTCCCAGGAGGGAGCCTGTGCCGGGTCCTCCGTCCTAAGGGTTTTAAGGGGTTTAGGGGGGACCCCAGGGGGAGATCCCAGGGGGAGATCTCAGGCGCAGATGCAGCAGTCTGCCAGGTGTGTCCATTCAGGGTTGTGGTCTCCGCTGATGGGCCCGCACCAGGCCAGGGGCATTATCCGATGCAGCTGATCCCGAGGCCGGTTTTGCCCGGTTTTGTTGCTTCTCTGGGCCCGGAGCTGAAATCCAACCGAGGCCTAGATGGTATCTGCAGGGAGGAAAGGTCAGGGAGGAAAAGTCAGGGGGTCCGAGTCACACGACCAGCCACCTGCTAGAGGAGGGAAGGTCACCCTGGGGGCGCGGTCCCACCCGACCGTTGATGGTCCTTCGCTAGGCACCCGGGGCTTTTCGCCCTGGTGACCCGTATGCGGCCTGTGGTCCTCGCTCTGCCCATGTCTGTCTAACTGCCTACAACATGTAGGGGCAGGTGAACATGGAGGCCAGGGACGGGGGCCAAGGTGCAGAGGCAGAATTCTGCTCCTCCCCCCATGGCTCCCTCCTGCCCCCTCCCACCCCTCCCTCACCCTCCTCCGCCTTTGCTCAGGTGTCTGCTTCCCACTGAGATCCTTGTTGGCCTCTTTTCTAAAATTGCAAGTGACCCTCTCAGCTGGGGTTTCTCCCTAGCCCTCACCCTGGACCCCCCACATCTGAGAGCAGGGCTTTTGTTTCAATCAGAGCAGGTCAGGTGTCTGTTGAATGCATGAACCCGAGGGTCAGGGGTCAGGGGTCAGGGCAGAGGGTCCGGGGGCAGCCCTGGAGGCAGGTGGCACTGGGGTCCATCCCTCTTCCTCTGAACAGAGGGGTTTACTGTTTTGCAGACACGTTTCTGGTCCTTTCTCCCCACTAGGAGTGTGAGTCCCCAGCAGGGCCACCCAGGCCAGCAGAGGTGTCCGCAAATGTGGGGGTGCCCTGTCCTGAGGGGGGGGTGTCCTGGCGCCCCGGGGTGGGGGTGCTCCCTTCAGATGCTGGGGCTGTGCAGGAGGAGACGGGGGTGGCAGGAACCAGTCCGTCTGGTTCAGGCAGAGGAATGGACCTTCCTTGTTCTGGGGCAGAAACCGAGGCGGCGCCCTGGGTCTGGGCCAGGGCCATGGGGCCTGAGGAACAGGAGAAATTCCCGCTGCTTATCCGGCTGCTCCATCTCCCAGGGCCGGGCGGGCGGGGATGGGGAGCTGGTGCCCGCGGGCCTGGCCCTCGGGCCGCTGCTGTGTCCTGCTTTGCACACGTCACTAAGTAACTCTCCGGGGCCCGGTTCCCGAGGAGGATGGGTCTGGGTTCAAATCCTGCCCTTTGCCCATGGGGGCCCCCTGTGATAACCGGGGCGCATTTCCCTCTCTGTCTGTTTGGGGGGATGGGATAATAAAGACTCACTGATGAGAGGGGTGTAGGGGCCTCCCCTGAGCTCCCTGCCTTAGAGCGGACAGATCCTTTGCTGTTCCCTCAGGAGGGCTGTGTGGGTCCCTGTGGCCGGGAGGGCTGGGATAACGATAGCAAACACGTCCACAGGAGACCCCGGTCCCTCACGCAGCGCTGAGACACAGGTGTGGCCAGGACGCGCATTTGGCAGATGAGGCGACCGAAGCACAGAGCTAGCAGATGTGCCCAAGTCCCGCAGCTGGCAGGAGAGGGACGTTTCAGACCAGCCAGTCTCTCTGGGGTCCTTGCTGTTAGTCCCTTGGGGTGGGGGGGTGGGCGTGACAGCTTGGCTGTCTGTGTGAGACGTCATCCTGCTCTTGGGGAGCTCACAGTCTGGGGAAAGAAACAAAATTTCCATCCTGGCCGAAACCCGTTTGGCTCAGTGGATAGAGCCTCGGCCTGTGGACTGAAGGGTCCTGGGTTTGATTCCGGTCAAGGACATGTACCTTGGTTGCGGGCACATCCCCAGTGGGGGGCTGTGCAAGAGGCAGCTGATGGATGTTTCTCATCGATGTTTCTAACTCTCTATCCCTCTCTCTTCCTCTCTGTAAAAAAATCAATAAAATATATTTAAAAAAAATTTTTCCATCTTGGGGGGTGGGTGCCTGGGGAGCCGCGGGAGCCAGAGTGGAGGAAGGGACGGAAAGGGGGAGGGACCTTACCAGGCCAGGGCTTGGTGTGCAGGGCGTGCAGGAGGAGCCAGGCAAATGTTTCTTGACTGAATGAGAATGTGACGGAGCCTGCCAGCATCAGGCCCCGGGGCCCCTGGCCTGTGGCCCCAGCCCCAGTGCTGGGCGCCCTGCGAGACTCGGCCCCTCTCTTCCCTGCAGGGACTGGGGCTGCTGGTGTGGGCCCTGATCGCCGATACCCCGTACCACCTGTACCCGGCCTACGGCTGGGTGATGTTCGTCGCCGTCTTCCTCTGGCTGGTGACAATCGTCATCTTCGTCCTCTACCTGTTCCAGCTGCACGTGAAGCTGTACATGGTGCCCTGGCCGCTGGTGGTGAGTCTGGTGGGGTGTGTGTGTGTGTGTGTGTGTGTGTGTGTGTGATCCAGGCTGAGCTGTGGGGTGACCTTTCCTAAATGAGAGGTGGCAGTGGGATGGCTGCAATCCTCAGTGCACTCCGCTAGCCTGCAGAGCTCCGGGGAGGAGGGGAGAGGGGATGGCGTGGTGGCCAGCTTTTCTGGGCACTGGGAGTGGAGCCAGGAAGGACACGGGCCTGGCTTTCTCTGGGGAAGGGGGTCAAGGTTCAGGGGCCGTTGGCTGGAGAGACCAGAGGCCATTTGGAGTCTTAAATATCTTTCTTCTGGGGGCAGTCGGAGTTGGAGCCTGTGTGGCAGAGGGTCTCTGGAGAGTGGGCTGGCCTGGCAGGAATACCCAGGCTGAGCTGTGTGCAGAGCGGTGTGTGCAGGGGGTGTGTGCAGGGCAGGTGTGCAGGGGGTGTGCAGAGCAGTGTGTTCAGGGCAGGTATGCAGGGCGGTGTGTGCAGGGCAGTGTGTTCAGGGCAGGTATGCAGAGCGGTGTGTGCAGGTGTGTATGTGCAGGGTGTGTGTGCAGGGGGGTGTGCAGGGCAGTGTGTGCAGGTGTGTATGTGCAGGGTGTGTGTGCAGGGGTGTGTGCAGGGCGTGTGTGCAGGGGGTGTGTGCAGGGCAGGTGTGCAGGATGTGTGTGTGCTGGGGGGTGTGCAGGGCAGTGTATTCAGAGCAGGTATGCAGGGCGGTGTGTGCAGGTGTGTGTGCGGGGGGGGTGTGCAGGGGTATGTGTAGAGGTGTGTGTGCAGGGGGGTGTGCAGGGCAGTGTATTCAGGGCAGGTATGCAGGGTGGTGTGTGCAGGTGTGTGTGCAGGGTGGTGTGTGCAGGGCATGGTGCGGGGGGTGTGTGCAGGGGTATGTGTAGAGGTGTGTGTGCAGGGGGGTGTGCAGGGTGTGTGTGCAGGGCGGTGTGTGCAGGATGTACTTGGGTGCGGCAGGGTGTCCACCCGCTGCCCCCAGGTTGAAGCCCCTGCAGCTGGAAAGGGCGGAGTCTCCTTGGGACGGAGCGAGCACAGGAAGGGCCCGAGCCAGAGGCAGAGAACGGGCTGGGTTTTCTCTCTGACCCGGAAAACCCCCGCAGCTGGGATCTGAGGCTCTCGGCGAGTGGAGAGGAGAGAGAGGCACGTGATTGTAAGACAAGCAAGGCTGGGACTAGCGGCTTTGTTTGCGACTCAATGACTGTTTAGAGCGAGGAAACGTGAGTCATCCTCAGGACAGACCACGTCTGTTGGACTTGACATCACTGGCAGGAGCCAGGCGGCGGGTGCGGCCGGAGCCGGGCCTGCAGGGAAGGTCCTGGGCGAGGAGGGAGTCCGCTGCACACACACACACACACACACACCCCGGCTCTGGAGACGGAGGGCCCAGCTGCCTCCAGCCTCAGTGGTTCCTTTTCTGGCCGTGAAGGCTCGGCCGCCTCTCACACTCCTGGGCCTTTTCCCGGAGGACTGGATTGGGATTCCGAGTCGGGGTTTTACTGGGATTGAACCAGGCAGGCAGTAGTGGGTTAGGAGTGGAGTCTGAGGGGAATAGGCCCCTCTACTCCGTTCCAGCTGCTGTCAGTGGGAAGCAGGCCACTTGGTGCCAGATCTGGTGTTTGATGATGGAAAGATTTTATGAAATCTTCAGGTTTTCATATGAAATCTAATTTTGCAGCGTTGGCAATGTAAAAGATAAACTATGGGATGAACCAAGCATGTATGTCTGAGGGCCAGCAGTTCGCAGTCTCTGTGAAGACCGTTAGCTGGCTCCAGGGGCCCCGGGTTCAAGAAAGGGCACCTGGGCCTGGCTGTCAGCGAAGGGTCCTCCCTGCTCTGGTCTGGCTCAGGATCCTGCTGGGTCCGGACCTTGGCATATGGTGGGGCCTTGAGCCTAAACTGTGGCCAAAAGGAGAACAGATGGGGCAGGACACTTGGGGCAGGACCTCCTTTCCCCCTCAGGCCTGCAGTGGGAAGGGGTGGAGGAGGGGGCCTGGGCCTGGCCCTGTGTGGACACGGAGGAGTGGCCTGGACTCTAGCTCACTGGTACGTTCGGTGACAGGCTGCATTTGGCCTCCTGCCACAGGGAATGGGTTTTGCCCGCTGGGCGTCGCTGCCCCTGACCAGCTCCCACAGCCTTGGTGTCTGTACTGGGCTCCGATGGCCTCCGGGCAGAGCCTGGGTGGGCTGCGCCTGCGAGGCCCCAGGGTCTCCGTCCCCATCCTCAGTGCCAGTCCACCTGGCTGCTCCTGGGGTGCCGGCGGGAGCCATGAGGTTCCCGTGATGGAGGTCTCCCATCTTCAGCCAGTTCTCCCCTCTCCGCCCGCAGCTGATGGCGTTTAACACGGGCGCCACCGTGCTCTACATCACCGCCTTCATCGCCTGCGCCGCTTCCGTCAAGCAGACGTCCCTCAAGGGCACCGGGCCGTACAACCAGCGGGCGGCTGCCTCCGTGAGTACGGCTCCCCGGCCTCGGCCAGAGCGAGGGCTGGGCCCGGGCCCTCTGCTCCCTGGTCTGAGGCCAGGCCCCTGCCCCCTCCCCAGTTCTTGTCCTACGAGCTTTCGGTCCCTCCACGGTTAACAGAAAGGCCCGAAGGAGCACCAGGCTGGGGAAGTACCTTGTGGTGAACGGAAGTTTGGGTTCACCTTTGAACTTGGCCGTCAATCAGATGCAACTCACTGACAGGATTGTAGGCAACTCCCCAACCCCTCCTCCCCACCAGAGAACCTTAAAAAGTATCGCCCCCATCCTTACCTTGAAAAGAGCTCATGCAAAGACCTAAAAAAAATAAATTTATATATATATATATATATATATATATATATTTATTTATTTATTATTGGTTTTATATAGGGAGGGAGAAAAGATAGTTAGAAACAATCAATGAGAGAGAAACATCAGCTGCCTCCTGCACACCTCCCACTGGAGATGAGCCCGCAACCAAGGTACATGCCCTTGACCGGAATCAAACCTCAGGACCCTTCAGTCTGCAGGCTGATGCTCTATGCACTGAGCCAAACCGGTTTTGGCAAGACCTTTATGGTTTAGACCATTTGGGGGGATTCACAGGCTCTCCCATGAACGGATTCCAGAAGATTCCTAGGGTAGCTTTGGAATGTTGCCTTTTACAAACTAGATCGCTCATGTCTAAAGTAGCTCCTGCCCCTCAATCACGCCTGTTGTTAGCATGTTGTGCAGCTGCCTGTCACATACCTGTCTGCGTGGTTAAGGGTTCCCCACACCGGAAGGTAATGTCAGCACCATCGGCCCCCAACAATTAGATGTTCGACGAGTGTGTGGCTCAGTGGGAGTTGGTGTGGCTGCCGGAGCCTCTGGTCCGGGCTAATGGAGGAGCCCTAGGGTCCCTCTGTGCCTGCGCCAGGCTGCCCCCTTCCTGCCAGCGTCCCTGTCCCCGCACCCTCCCCCGGGCCGCGCTGCAGACCACTCAGCGAGGTGTCCTCCTCTCCTCTTTCAGTTCTTCTCGTGCTTAGTGATGATCGCCTATGGAGTGAGCGCTTTCTTCAGCTTCCAGGCCTGGCGAGGAGTAGGCAGCAATGCGGCCACCAGCCAGATGGCTGGTGGCTACGCCTAAACCAGCTGACCAAGGCCCGCCGTGGGGCTGAAGGTCTGCCGGCCCGGAAGGGGCTACACTTGCTCCTGTGCGACCACCAGACGCGGGCTCAGCCAGCGCTCCTCTCCTAAGGAACCGGGAGGGACCCTTCCTCCGGCTCGGCCCAGGCCGCACGCGCGGGGGCTGGGGAGAGCCGGCCGGCGGCCGAGACCGGCTCGTCCCCCTTATTCAGCAGAAGGTGACGGGGGACGGGGCTGCTGTCCGCTTTGTCCAGAGGATTTCAGCTTCCGAGGCGGGGCCCAGCCTTCTCACCAGCACTAAGCACACTAACCCGGACTCCAGACCTGCAGCCCCACCTGTTACAGATAAGCCTAACAAGCAACGTATTTATCATCGCAGTCTGCTCCAGGAGAGTTCTGGGTCCTTAAGACACAGCTCCGACACGCCCCTCCCTCAGACCGGCATGTCGCTGGAGGAGACTTTTCTGACAGCACGCTCTTCCTTCCCTGTATTTCACACGGTTATTGTTTTTTAAAGAGAGCGGCTTTTAAATTTTTTTGTTAATCCTCACCTGAGGTTTTTTCCCATTGATTTTCTAGAGAGAGTGGAAGAGAGAGAGTGGAAGAGAAACATCAGTGTCAAAGAAACACATTGATTGGTTGCCTCCTGAACACAACTAGGGCCCAGGCCGGGGAGGAGCCTGTAACCATGGTACGTGCCCTTGGCTGGTATGGAATCCGGGACCCTTGGTCCACAGACTGACTATCCACTGAGCCAAACCAGCTAGGACCACTGATGGCTATTTAGAGCAGATCGGCTTCAAGCAACTTCCCACTGATGCAAGCTTTCCTCCCTTCCCAAGCTCGTGTGTAACCGCCCAATTGGGGAAAGCCACCGTCCATATGGCTGCTTCCCTGGCCCTGCTGATTGGACACTTAGGACATGGAGGCAGGGCATTGAGGTCTTGCCTGGTGAGTTGTTATATGCTTGGTGGTGACTGTTGTCATTTTTTGTTTGTTTGATTTTTTTTACAAAAATAAAGACAGGAGAACTTGTCTGAGTTGGTTCTTGCAAAACACCTCAAATTTTACTGAAGGATACAAAAGCATTTAATAAGCGCCACGTCAGTACAGAACACACACAGCCTATGTATAGCTCATCCTTTAAAACCAGAACTGCCACATGAAGTCAGCACAGATTATTTTTACTAAAAAAAAAAAAAATCTAAGGTACACACCGGGAACTGAACTAACCAGCAGAACACGGCGCTGGTGGGAAGATTCTGACAGGAAGGCGGCATTGCAGACCCTCCATTCCAACAGCAAACCTCAACACCTGATTCATACAGAGGCGGTTCGAGCAGCACTAACACCCCACATGCTGAGAAGAGGGGACCCTGACCTACTTCAGCGGAAGCACACGTAAGCACACACTCACGGGGCCCAACAGGGCATCCGCGATCGTGGCGCTAAACTAAAAAGCATATAATACTTTGATCTTGAAGTGGGTAATCGTGGAACTTCCAAGATTATATCCACTAGGTTAGCCTGAGTATTCATCTATAAAAAATAGTTTCTTTCAAAAAGAGAGAGTTCTGGAAACGGGGACTACATGGGGACCGGAAGACAGTGACGCAGGGACTGCAGATGTGAGACTAGTTGACTGGGACATGGAGCTTTTAGGTAAAGGACATCTCTCTCGGGTGACTGACAGCCAACACTCATGGTGATAGGAGCTCCACAAGTTTCAAGTCCAGCAGGTGCTGGAGGAACAACCTAGCTAAATGCTCCGAACCAGTGAAACCCCAAGAATGCAACACCCCCACACATGAGCGGGGGAGCCCCCAGGTGGAATGCTGAATGTGGACTTGTCCAGAGGATCCGACTCAAGCCCCCGAGAGAGATGGCCACCGAGGGAGGAGGACTGGGGTTACAGAACACAAGGGTTTTCTGAGGAAACGGGTCTCAGGAGGGTCATGCCATTTCCCCCCTCCATCAATACTTGATGTTAACGAAGAATTGTGGAACAGAGCTGGTCTGCCCAAGATCTATCCTTCCATCGCTAGCTGTAGCTGACGCCTCCGTGCACTGGGCTGATGGTGAACAATGTCATTGCTGGAGGGGACCTAGTGCCGCAGGTTGTTCTGGGAAGCTGGCAGAGGGGAGGATTTGCACAGTGAAGTCACCACGAGACCACTGCTTAAGTCCAGTCCTCGGCCTTCTTTTTCCTACAAGACATAGAACAGTCCTCCCTGGCTCAGATCCCGCCTGGGAGAGGGGGCGCTCCAGGGGCGTGTGGGGCACAGGGAGGGAGGCACTGGCCACGGTCAGTCTTAACCACAGACTGTGCTTCCTCAGTCAGGATCCCAGGTCCCGGCTGGAGGACAGCAGCTCACTGATACCCACTAGGTGCCACTGGCCAGGCTCAAAGGGGGGCTGGGAGGTGGTTTCTGTTAAGACAGTTCTAGAGCATTCGAAGTGGTTCCCTGTGGCTAACTGAACAGGTAAGAGTGACCTATTAAACACAGAATTAAAAAAGGGAAAAAACAAAACGGTGACTTACTGCTCTGTAGTCCAGAAACATTTCTTTAAAAGCCAAGAAATCGGTAAACGTGAGCAGCATGTCAAATATGTCCCCGGCCACCTCATCTTTGTGGTGCCTGCAAAAGGGGAGGGGGCTGTTTCACGAATGAACGGGAAACACTGTCTTCAAGGCTTCGGTCAAAGGTTTTGAGGCCCTCCTACCCGGCACCCAACCACCAAGCGTTCTCAGCTTTGATGGTCAAGCACTGGAGAAAGAGGGTCTTTTTTTTTTTTTTTTCAGACAGAAGGAGGAGAAGGAGGAGGAGGGAGGTAAAAAGGCAAAACACAGAGTCAAGCTCAACTCACTGTAAGGTTGTGGTGAAGGCCGCCATGTTAAACCCAGGAATCCGCTCCAGTAGCTGTTCTTCAATGTACTTTTCCACTAAAGAAATCTAAGTGGGAAGGATCTTGTCAGACCTCAGGACTGCTTTTCAGAAGCCTGTCCTAAGAGCCGATCCTATGTGCCAGGCCCTGTGGTGAGTGCTGGGGACACCAGACACCAAAACACAGCTCCCGGCCTCTTGGACAGCTGGCCCACAGAGGAGAGGCACTCGGTCCTTACACCGCAGCAGCACGCATGCTCTCCGATCAGCAGGGACGGCAGTGGGGCTCTCCCACCCCTGGCCGAAAGCGAGGAATGAAGTAAGTGGCTTTTTCTTCCTGGGCAGATGGAATCCGTGCAGAACATACACAGAACTTCTGGACAGAGGCAGTCCAGGGTCCTCAGAAGCCGAGGCCTGGCCTGAGGGAACCTGCATCGATTGCCAAGCTGCTATGATAAGGAAGGAAGGCTCTGGAGGCTCAAACCCTTTCTCAGGCACATGACAGCATTCCAGGAGGCCCTGACCTTGGCAAAGGGGAAATACCCAATGGACATTCCTGGATTCTAGTCTTGGTTTTCATGTTCACCTGACAGCCATACATACCTGGACTAGTAACAGGAAGAGAGTGTGTGAAAGCTAAATGGTCAAAAGTACAGAAATGCATGGTGTGGTGAGCCCACCAATTGTAACTGAAAGCAGAATTATGATAAATCCAAACAGCTTGTGAAATAAAAGTTGATGAAATCATCAGATATTTGAAAAACAGCCCCAAAAGCTGTGTGGGAAAGTGACAGGAGATGAGACCTACACCAGGTTCTAATAGAATTCCTGAGCAGGGGACAGTGGCAGATTTAAAAAGTCAAGCAAATTTCAGCATCTTCTGGTTCTGAATTCACATTTTAATGAAACTCTGGTAAGAGACATAGAAATCCACTTACATATTCGTTAAAAATAGGCGTGTAGATGAGTTTATTCTCTTCCGTGTCTTCAAATTCCTGGTAGTACTTGTCCATGAAATTCCTCTGTAATAACTGGAACTCGTCATCTTGAACCACAATAAAAAACAACTATTATTTTTAAGCCAAACTAAAAACAATACTGATTTATAAACAGGCAGGAGTTACATGTCAGAAGTGATTTCTCAACGGTCAGTCTCCAGGAGAGAAAACTAAAGGTTTTTCAAGGAAGTATTAAACCCGGGACTCTTGAGTCTGCAGGCTGACACTTTACACACTTAGCCAAACTGGCTTTTTTATTAGTATTTTTAAAATTGTAATTAAGTATGCAAAACAGCCCTAGCCAGTTTGTGATAAATAGTCTGGGCTTATGGAAGTTCATTTCCCCACAGGGAACAAGATATCCATAAAAGGCAAAAGAATTCAAAGTATTCCTCAGTATCCCCACAAGCCCTCCGACCCACATGGAATGAGAGCTTAGTGGTGAAACACCTGTATTTACACTTAAGGGCATGACCCTTTGCCATACCTACCTGGACATACAAAAACTTAAGTGACTTTTTCAGACTAACCTAGAGTAGGAGACACAGCTAGAAACACCAAATGACAGCATTCTTTTCCTCATTCTCAGAAGACTTGAAGTCAATAAGACAACATTTTCTCAGTTTTAAGTTTCTTTCTCCCACATATTTGTCTTAAACCTTTGGTGCCAATTCCTTAGTAGGCATTATGGATCCAAAAATGAACCCACAAACAGGAAATACCTTGTTTGATCCATGCATGTGTGCTATAGCTATGGTATTACTTAGTATGAAAATGTTGAAGGGAAAAACTAAAGAACTAAATTGCTCTTCGTCTCTGACATAGAGTAGATCAATATTTCCTGAAGTTTTGCCAAGAGCCCCATAACGTCCAGGTGTGGATTTCCTGAAAACTTCCTTCCTGAGGCCTGAATGCGTGGCGGTTTGCCTCTAGACAAATCACAGTAAGACCTAGTGGTACATTGGGCTACATTAAACATTACACGCAGCTTGACGTCTTCTCGCTTAAAAATGGACTCTCCAAATTTGACTTCAGTGCCCTTAAAAGCACGGGGCTAAGAGTAAGAGCACAGGCCACACTGGCAAGGTGGCTTACCCATGATGATGTCCTCTAAGTAGCCAACCACAGCGTCGAATTCTGCATCAGAGGCAGAAGAGCTGAAAGACATGCCTGGATTAGGTGCTGTTTCAAATAGTTTTTTAAAAAACTTGATTATGACCCTAACCGGTTTGGCTCAGTGGATAGAACATCGGCCTGCGGACTGAGGGGTCCCAGGTTCGATTCTGGTCAAGGGCATGTACCTTGGTTGCGGGCACATCCCCAGTAGGGGGCTGTGCAAGAGGCAGCTGATGGATGTTTCTCATCGATGTTTCTAGCTCTCAATCCCTCTCCCTTCCTTTCTGTAAAAAAATCAATAAAATATAGGTGGTGGAGGGTCCCCTAACCGGGATCGGGCCTCGGCAGCGCAAACCCGCCGGGTTTGGCCGCCGCCGCCGCCGCCAGATCGGAGGCGGAGGTGGGGGGACTGTGATGGAGGCGATGGTCAACGCGTGACACCCGCCCTGTCCTCCGGTCCTCCGGTCCTCCGGGCCGGAACCAAGGGTCGCACCCCGGGGATTGGGGCGGAGCCTTGCCAGCCCCCCACCCCGCCCCGCCGGGAGCCCCGTTTCTAAGGGCAGAGGCCGGGGCCGCGCAGGGTCACCTACGAAGACAGCACGAAGCTCTCTTCCTCTAGGGTGTCCATCGCCGCCGCCGCCGCCGCATCCACCCCGCGCAGGCGAGCCGGCCCGTCCGCCTCCTACCCGGTCCGCGCGCGGCCCGGCCCCAACCTCCGTTCGGCTCCGCGGAGCCCCAACTGGCATCGGGGAGCCCGCGCCGCCGAGGCCGCGGTCGGGTCACGGCCCAGCCACGCGCCGGCCCGGCCTCCGTCCGCCCGCCGGGGGCTCAGCGGCGATTACGGACCTCCGGGCGCCGCGCCGCGCCCGCCTCCCGTCACCATGGTCACTGCAACCTCTTCCGCTGCCTCGCTACTCCAGGTAGCCAATCACAGAGCGCGCTGTCCGACGCCAGGGGCGGGGCAAACGGGAGGCGGAAGTGAGGGGAGAGGTTGGAGGAGGGAGGATAGCTGAGCACCGAGGGCTCGTGTCCTCTCTGTGCGGCGATGGAATCTCAAGTCGCCCCCGTTTTATGGGATGGATCCAAGCCAAGTGCCTCAGGTTCTTCCTTTGCGAATTACAAGACTTAAGAAGATGAAGTAGTTTAAAGCGGATAGTAAGAGCCCTATAAATAGCAAATCTCCTGAGAGGCAAGCCTTAGTTTTAGAATAAGATCGTTGCTCATTTGCAAGGCAGCTCCTCCCTCTCGTGGAAGGAAAGCCTCATCGCAAGAAGTGGACGTCTTGTACGTCAATCGCATTCACATCATAAAGATTCGGCAGTAAATGGTTTCTTGGCTAATTAGGCGAGATGAAAGTCGATAGAGCTCCTTGGAGCAACGCAATCAGAAAGAGTCCCCTTCGATGCTGCCAAATTTTGCACAAAAAAAAAAAAAAGGTTCCCTAGAGCAGATTTCTCTCGACTGGACCACTTGGGCGTTGCATGTATTCATCTTGGCCAAGTGTGTGGTGCATGGGTACAGGGATTTGTTATCAAGACCATGGTATCTCAGAGGCAGTAACTCTGCCTACCACTAAAGAGAAACCAGGCATCTGAAAAGGTTTGCTGAATAACCTGGCCGAGCTCTGTTTAAGTCCAGCACTGATCACACAGCTCAAAGCAAACTCAGCAAATTTCCTCATGACCTACTTTCTCTATAAACCACTTATTTCTTTTGGACTAAATGAACTCGCCACCCTTTCTTTAAAATTTTTTTTTTGATTTCAGGGAGGAAGGGAGAGGAAGAGAGAGAAACATCAATGATAACAGAATCATCATTGATCAGCTACCTCCTGCATGCCCACTATTAGGGATAGAGCCCGAAACCATGAGCTACTGGATGATAGGTTGAAGCTCAACCACTGAGCTACCCCAGCCAGGCCTGCTCACCCTTTCTACTACTACATCATGTATGGGATCAGAGTGGAGGAAATGATTTCATCTGTTCTGGTCATCTAACACTTGTTACAAACCACCAAAACTCTTAGTGGCTTAAAACAATTGTTTTGCTCACTAATCTGCACTTGGGGCAGGACTTGGTAGTCTCTGGTCAGCTGGTCTCTGCTCCACTCCTCATCAGCAGGTGGAATGGGCTAGAGGAGCCTCTTCCCAGAAGCTCACTCACATGGCTGCAAGCTTAGTGTTGGCTCTTGGCGGGGAGCTCCGTGTGGATGGTGGTTAAAGGGGGGGAGAGGAGGGAAGAAACATTCTATGGCAGGTGGTGGGGTTCAGTGATTGAGTGCTGACCTATGGATCAGGAGGTCACAGTTGGATTCCGGTCAGGCCATAAGCCCAGTTGTGGGTTTGATCCCCAGCATGGGGCGTGCAGGAGGCGGCCAATCAATGATTCTCATCACTGATGTTTCTATCTTTTTTTCCCCACTCCCTTTCTCTTTGAAATCAATATAAAAATATATGTAAAGAAAAGAAAAGAAAAAAAAGAAACACTCCATCATCTCGATTGTATAGACCAGGAAATCCAGGTTGGAAGTACTTGCATACTTGTGGGAAGTGACATTATGGGGCTGGAAATCTGAGAGGAGGCTCACTCCTGTCTCACTCATCATGCCCAATATAAGGCCCCAAACCCCGACTTGTCAAACAATACTGGAAATCAGAACATGATCCTTTTCTGGGGGAAAACCTGAATGGTGGTCTTTGTGTAGAAAAATACATTTACTTGAATATATTAAATGTTTTCCATATTAAATCCTTTGATCGTGGGTATTAATAATTGGAATAGCAAAAGAAAAGTACAATATTTAGAAGAGCGATCATAGTTGGATAGTTTGTTTTCATGGATACATATTGGAGATGGTTGAAGTTCATGAAATATCATTTTTTTGCAAGTGAAATTGCTTCTGTCACTGAATCTGTTTCTTGGCATTCAGCTAATGGAATCACGACTTTACCTTGCTTTATCAGTTTAATTCAAAAAAGTGGCAATTCATTAGAAACATTTTTCCCCCCGGCTGTCTGGAATCCTGGACATATTTCCGGGAAATAAAAAAAATATAAGTAACATGCCTGGCTTGGTGGCTCAGTTGGTTGTAGCGTTGTTCTGTGCACCAAAAGGTTGAGAGTTCAATACCTGTTCAGGGCCCATGCGAAAGGCAACCCATTGATGCTTCTCTCTCACATGGATGTCTCTTTCTAAAATCAATAAAACATATCCTCCGGCGAGGGTAAAAAAAAAAATCTAGTAATGCAAACGACTTAACAATACACAAGTAATAACATTTAAAAATATATACATTACATATTGTTCTCTCTGGTACAATATATCATCAGTAAAAGCCTAGCTTTCCATTTCTCTTAAAACGCTTACAGACCACACAGAATATAGATCCTTGGTTACCCTCTTCCACATAGCTTGGTAATTTTTTCCTCTTCTATGTGGAGCAAATGTCTTTACAACTTTGCTTCCATCCTGAATGATTTAATTCTGAAATCCTTGCTTTATGGTCTAGAAGAATTAGGAAAGTAGCCCGGCTGGTGTTGCTCAGTGGTCTTCTTCCCGCCACCGGATGTACGCATGCTCCGTGAACAGATCTGTTTTGCACACCAAGTGCCCAGAATAAAGATTTGCTGGATGGACAGTGATGAACCTCGCTTCTTAATTCTAATATGTGATTCTCTCCTACTCAGGGAAGTAGCCCTTACACCCGAGAGTATGCTGTCTTAGAACTTTAGGAGCAGGGACCAATGAAAGTTGTGAAATCTTAGTTAAAAAAAGGCAACAAATGTTTTATTTCTTCAATGCAAATTACTGTATTCACCACAAGCTAAAGAAGAGAACATATATATATATATATTTATATTTATATATATTTTTGGATTTATGGAAGACTAAAAACATGGGAAAAATCCAGCACCCCAACAAGTACGGCCAGGAAGGAAACCAGCACTGTGAGAGGACACTTTAATGAACTACAAACAAAAAAGGGTGGGGAAGGAAGAAAAAAAATGTGCATTGAGTTTAAGACACTGTAAAACTCAGAAGACATATTTACTATTCAAGTATAAACTCAGTAAGGACTTGGCATAAATCGAAAGGCAGCTGCTGAGGTACACCATTAAAAAGTAAATTCTAGGAATTTACAATTCTACCTTCCAATTTCCTGGGAGACAAAAAACCAAACTCTTGAAGGTCTTTACCAGAGACCCTGAGAGGGAGTAACACTTTTGATGAAGCTATAGTCAGCAATCCATGATTGAATTTACCATTCAAAACATGTGATTTATTTAAAACAACAGGAATACGTGCTCTCAGACAGTCTTCTAAGAGTTTTTGAGACTGTTAGTTCAAGAGTTTCAGAGTATGCTACTTCCAAAAACAATACTGATTAAAAACAATTTTTTTAAACCAAAAAACCTGATTTGATGGTACCTTAAAAATACCTTAAACACCAAATGTTCTCCAGTCAACCATTGCAATTAATTTAAGAATTCATCCTGCATTGTTAAAACATGTTTTCCGCACGAAATGTGGGTACTGAAGTTGGATAGAAACACCATGAGTGTGAAAATACCACTGATTTTCTGCAGTTAAAAAAAAAACTAGAATGTTCTTTGGAATCACTGAAATATAAAAAATTTGGGGTTTTTCTACAGTCTGTGCACCTTCTTTCTGGCTCTCCGAATTGCTCGTAGCATTGACCTGTGTGGTTCTAGTTTTATAGATTCAAGTTTTACAGTGCAGTAGCCACACTTAACACACCGCTCTCTCTGACCAACGGGAAGTTATACTCAACACAGAAATGTTGCCGTTCACTCCTCCATAATGACCTTCTGTCCAAATAAAACTTCAGAATATGAGACAAAACATCCTGTGTTAAACAATCAAACGAACCCAACAGGGAGAAATCCGATGTGGTCCCAGCGCTCGCGAGGGTGCTATCCTCTATCGTTTTCATAGAAGTACCACAGGCCTCACGTGTTAGCATTCAGCTTTCCTTGGCCTTGAAAGGAATTTCCCAGGGCTGGCAAGTTGGGTTAGATTCTAAAGAGAATTTTGTCTTTGACAAACTACCATTTTTAGCATAAAATCTGGCCATGGCTATAAGTTTCAATGTGCGTACAACTGATTAGAGATGGTGGGTTTTTTTCTTTTTCTTTCCACACTGGCTGGAATTGAGAAGAAATAAGTCCGTGATGCCTCTTCCTGAGTGTCATGAAATATGCGAGATCTGTCTGACTCTAGACACTATTTCTTTCCGACACAATGGGCAGGTCTCCAGTTGCAAGGCACAATTCATGCACAGGTCACTGTGGAGAAAGACAAACACTGGTAGGTCACCGCATCAAGAGGCCAGATTGACTGATGTGATAAAAAATGTTAACAAGCTTATTAATTGAAAGAGTAATAATTCATAGCTAATAAAATGAAGTACATATATAAATAAATAACAAGTCCAGTCATTTGGTCAGCTGTTCAATCAATCAAAGTGTAATATGCAAATGATATGCTAAGGCCACTCAACTGCTGGCCATGACATGCACTGAACACCAAGGGGCAGACAGTTGACTGGTCAACCAGTCACTATGATGTGCATTGACCACCAGGGGGCAGACACTCAATGCAGGAGCTGTCCCTGGTAGTCAGCGCTTCCATAGCGGGGAACACAGCTCAGCCAGAAGCTGGGCTCACAGCTCACGGCTCTGTGGGAGTTAGACATCGCCTGAGAGCTCCTGGACTGCGAGAGGGGCAGGCCGGGCTGAGGGGCCCACCCTACCCCAGTGCACAAATTTCGTGCATCAGGCCTCTAGTATATACTAATATATAAAAGACCAGATTCTGCTGTTTGTTTGGGATCTTAATATACTTATGGAGCAAAGATCAAAAAGGGTATTGAGATACCCAACCTTTAACCTCTGCACTGCCTATGAGGCCCTGATAACTAAAACCTCAAAGTGAGGAATTCTTGGCTGCAGAGTAGATATCAAGGAGCAACCATAGCTGGAGCCACTGTATTCTTCTTTCAGAAGAGAGACTGGGACTGAAAAGGGTGAAATGAGGTACACTGAATGCACTTCTCTTAACTGCCGTTAGATAACAACACATCTCAAAAGACAGCAGAGGAATAGAGGCAGGGTCAGGGCCCACGCTGAGGCACACCTAGGAGTGACAAACGGGCCCATCGCTCCAGGCTCTAGACCCTGGAAGGCTTGGTAGCTAAAGTTACATCACACATAAGAGCAAAGTGGGGTATGGGCTGTGCTGAATTACAGGGAGCTGCTCACATACAGTCAGCATGCATGCCTGGGCCCGCACACTGCCAACCCCTTCTAATGAACTACATCCCGACTGGGATGGCATTCTTGGGGACTGTCCTACTTGCTGATCTTGCTGATGTTTAGCCACTCTGTTCTATAGGGTCTAGGCTACCCTCTGAGTTCATTTCTGACAACTGATGTTTGGCTAGGTGGTAGGGAGGCCCCGCCTGTTCAATGGTGAGGCGTATAAATAATAAATATATGAGGAGGCTTGACAACTAAGAGGAACTACCCACGAAGCTCATACATAGCATTAAACGTTTCACATTTTGTGATGTGGAAACTATGGGAAATACGGCACTGAGGAAACAAAGGCCTGCGGAACTAAGCAGCTGCTGCTGTTTCAGGTATGTTCCTGGAGCTAGCCATGTACTACTTGTCCGATCGAGTCCCCATTTAGCCCACTTTAACAAGCAAACTTGACGAACAGCTATGAGACTGGACATGCTAAAAGCAACTCAAGGACACGATGAAACTCTGCCTCATGTAACATACACAACAGGAACGAATCCCACGAGCCCTCTTACCTGTGTCCACATGGCTTCAACTGTGTGTCTGCTACCTCATCGCAACACAGGGAGCAGCAGTTTTCCCGGATACTGACTTGCTTCAACAGAGCAAGACGCCTGTGCCTGAGGGGAAAACACAGCGTGTCAGAGGAGTGGGCCCGTGAGCAGGGAGGCCCAGGAAATGCTTTGGAAATGCTCTGTGTGTGTGATGTGAACGAAAGAGGGGCTACACAGCAGACATGACCCGCTCAGGGCCACAGAGTAGACTGACAAGCAGTGACTGACTATCTACACAGGAAGAGCTGATCATATATTCCCCACCGGGCAGGTCACCGTAGGCAGTCACATCCCAGGCCTATCGATTCCTCAGAAAAAGGTGAACCTTTACTTTCATTAGCCCTGCCCATGCTCTCAGGCATCTGGGATACCAGAATTTGAAATGTTAAGAGTAATCTTCTTTTCTAACCCCTGGGTGGAGGATCTGCAACTCCTCAGAGTTATCTTGTGGCCCACATCCAACCTGTAGTCACTGTCAATGCTGAATGGTAACCATCTTGTACCTACCAACCCTAGGGCCCGCCCCCTCCTCGCAGGTTTTCTTGGTGTCTGTGCCATGTGTGATGTTGTCTGGTTTTTATACCCACTATCAGTCAGCTCAGAACAATGATTTGGAAGTGCTCTTTCCTTCTGGGCACTGTAATATTTTTAATAGCAGTGAAGCGATCCGTTGCCCAAATATTTGGTGGAGTTCTCCGGTGAAACCACCTGGGTCTGGTGCTTTCTGGGACCATAGCTCTTGATTTCTTTCAATTAATTTTATAATAATTGTTTTTTCTCTCATCTGGAATGTGTTTTGGTGATTTATATTTCCTAGGGAGCTGCCATTTTCCTCAGTTTTTTTTTTAAAACCTGAGTATGAAGCTTCATATTTGTAAGAAGCTGAAAAAAGCCTCTTAGAGATGGTTATGATTTCTCATGAGATACACGAGGCATCTGGAGCTGGTCTATAGACTCCTTACCTTGGCAAAATGATTTTCTCTTCAGCTCTTAGGAAGGCGTATTCATTAAAAGTGCTAAATTTCATAGATGGTGGATATTTAAATGGTTTTGCTCCGAAATTGAACTCACATTGTTGATATGACATGAAACTAGCTGCAGCAAAAAATCCAGATCTACAGAAGAAAAAAAAAAATAAGCAAGAGGTCAAGAAAATTCATAAAAACAAAGCAATGCTACATGTGAAGTGGTTTTCAGAAGTTGGAATGAGTTACATCCTAGCGGGAAGGGGGCAGATATCCTGCCCTTATCTTCCTATGTCAAACTTTGAGGTAACATTAGGTATGATCAAATGGGTCCCCAATTACTTGAAATAAAATGGTTTCCCATCACACCTGACTATATAAATGGACAAATTTTTTTTTTTTTTTCTCTAGAAAAAAGTACATTCCAGCCTGGCTGTGTGTTCAGTGGTTGAGTGTCGACCTATAAAGCAGGAGGTCAAGGTTAGAGTCCAGGTCAGGACACATGTCGGGTTGCAGGCTTGATCCCCAGTGGTGGGAATTCAGGAGTCAGTGGGTCACTGATTCTCATCATTGATGTTTCTATCTCTCTCTCCCTATCCCTCTCTGAAATCAATAAAAATATGTGAAAGAAAATAAATAAGATAAAAAAATTTTAAAATGAACTTTCTCAGAATAACTTATTTTTTTTTTTTTAAAGTACATTCTGTGCATGTCCTAAAGTTTTTGAATGGGAAAAGCTACTTACACAGTAGACGAAAAGACTTGCTTCTCAGGAGGCAGCTGGTTGCCATTTAAAAAGAAGATCATTTGCTTTTCATTCAAGTCTAACAGAAATCCTACCGTATCTCCTGCAGGATAAAGCAAAGCACTGTTAGGATGAGGGTGTATATCACTGGGATTCTACTAAGTGTCTCAGGGTTTTATATATACACTAGAGGCCCGGTGCACAAAATTCGTGCACAGGGGTGGGTGGGGGTGTCCTTCAGCCCAGGCTGCACCCTCTTGCAATCCGGGATCCCTCAGGGGATGTCCGACTGACAGTTTAGGCCCGATCCGGTCAAACACCCCTCTCGCAATTTGGAACCGCTGGCTCATAATTGCTTGCCTGCCTGCCTACCTGATCGCCCCTAACCACTTGCCTGCCTGCTTGATTGCCCCTAACCACTCTGCCTGCCAGATTTCCGCTAACTGTTTGCCTGCCTGCTTGATTGCTCCTAACTGCCTCTGCCTCTGCCCTCAATGCCATGGCTTTATCAGGAAGGTTTTCTGGAAGGACATCTGGACTGATGTCCGGAAGGTTGTTCTGCTGTTCAGTCTAATTAGCATATTACGCTTTTATTATTAGATTTCAGAGAGGAAGGGAGAGGGAGAGAGAGAAACATCAATGATGAGAGAATGATTGATTGGCTCCTTCCTGCACATTCTACATTGGGGATCAAGCCCGTAATCTGGGCATGTACCCTGACTGGGAATTGAACCATAACTCCTGGTTCATAGGTTGACGCTCACCATGAGTCACACTAGCTGGACAAGTTTTTGCTTTTTAATTTGTTAAAGGTGAACATATGAAATTATATAATGATGGTAAGAAAAATAGACACTCACAGCTAGTGGAGGATAATCTAATAATATAGAGCAAAACATTTACAAAATGAAATTCTTTATCCTCTTACTAGAAGTTCCACTTTAAGCATTTATCCTGAGAAAATCCAAAATGGTTCATATTTTTCTATAATAGTAATTTTAAAAGGTTAAAATGTAACTATTCAACCTTGAGGTATTGATTAATAAGCACAATTATGTAACATATTTACTCCAAATTTTCAATGTTTTTAAAAATATCTCTGGATGGTGGAATTACAAGGGATTTTAAGTTTCATTATGCTTCCCTCCTCTATTTTCCAAAATTTGATAATAAACACATTACTTCAGTAATCCTTTGAAAAATTATTTTAAAAAATTACAGTCTTTGTAGACTGTGCCTCTATCTTATGTTCTGTTAAATGAAGTTTTCTTTTCTTTCTTTCTTTTTTTTTTTTTTTAAAATGAAAGTTTCTATTCCTTTTTTAAGAACCTGCAAGCCATTCAAATGAAGGCCTATGTTTGACTTTTAAGGTTTTTTTCTTTCCTCTACTATCACTTTAGTTACTTACGTGGAACTGGCCCTGCATGGCAGGGGTCAATTTCCCACTCTCTTAGCATGCCTGAAAATTCAGTTTACATTTATAATGCAGAAAACAGAGAGAGAAAAGGCTTGGACAAGGAGCTGGCTATATCCCCTATCTAGCTCCAATGCTAACATCTTTGCAGAGGCTCCATCCCCTACCATTTGATGCTATGTCTTCAGAATCTGTGGGGTGTGTGTGTGTGTGTGTGTGTGTGTGTGTGTGTGTATGTGGTGTGTATGTTGGAGGGGGAAGGTTGGGACACAGCACCAGGAGGCCCCTGAGAATATTGCCCTCCAGTGCATGGTGCTATGGCAGGGAAAGCCTGTTTTCACTGTAGTTAGCCAGGGGTGAAAAGACTCAATAACCTCATATCCTTCCATCTAAGTGTTCAACAAACCAACTGTGTGGCTCCGACTTCCTGCTTGAATCTTTCACTAATATATGTTTTCATGGGTCCAGGGTCTTAGATACTGCAGTGGATGGAACAAAAATGAAATGGAGTGAAAAAGATCATCCTGTTGCTAAGCTACATTCCTGCAAACACCCTAGAGCCATGACTGAGTTTCTGGAAGTCTCCTGAGGTGCCGTCTGGAGAAGGGAGGCTGAGCAGGTGCTTTGAGGCTGAAAGTGCTCAAGCTGCCCTTAAAGGTGCTCAGAGGTGCCCAGCACATGTCCACTGCACAGTGCCTATTCCTCAGCCATCTGGTCTCTGAAAATACCCATTTAACTGGCATTACTCCTTCAGTATCTTCAATATCTCCATAGCTGCTTTGGTTCAAAACATATACCCATAGAGGACACTAGCATTCACATTAATCATAAGATGATCATTTCCCACTAAATTGAGACGTTTTTGCTGAAGGCAGGCTCCACCACAGGTGAATTTACCAATGAGTCCTTTCCCACCCATGGCAGGGGATATGAAGGCGGATTAACCCTCTTCACACTTAATATTCCTCCATTAAAACGTTTGAAGGATGCTTCATAGTAAGTAATGTCTGGACCTCATCGATAACTTCACGATGGAGAGAAATGAGTACCTTCTTTCCAGCACGGGTGCAGGTGAGGCTTACTTCTGGCATTGTACCAGATCAGCTGCCGACAGCCATCGTAGGCACAGGAGTACTCATCGTCCCCGATGCCGTAGCCTTCCTGGAGGGAGACAGGGCCCAGGAGGTTAGCAAGGCCGTGTTACGGGAAAAGTGTGTTGTTGGGTTTTTAAGCACATTTTTATGGATTTCAGACAGGAAGGGAGAGGGAAAGATAGAAACATCAATGCTGAGAGAGAGCCACTGATGGGCTGGCTGCCTCCTGCACTCCCCCCCTACCGGGGATCAAGCCCACAACCCGGGCACATGCAAACCTGTCCGAAAAATAACAAGCCTCCACCCACTCAGCCCAAAACTGCCGCCGCACCCCCTGGCAGTCCTCAGGGTACTCACGTGATTGAGAAATTTGCTGTCGCGGGTAGCCCAGCCGATCTGCATGACCCCGGAAGTAATCACCGTTACTTCGTAGTACCACACCCCGGCGTCCACGCAGAAGGTGCAACGCACACTCTCAAAAGAGGAGGCATCACAGCGAGCCTGGCGGAACCAAAGAGCGAGACAGGCCCCCCTCAATGCCTGAAGCCCACCAAAGACACTGGCGGCTCAGGAGGCTGAGTTTTTCCTTTTGACAGCTTCTGGGGGACCACCGCCTCCTTCTCTGTGCACCTCAGTGACAAAAGCTCAAAGCCGAGTGAAGCACACGCCATGTCGCAGTTTTATTTCCAGAGAGTTCTAGCGGGACCGGAAGACCTCAAAGAACGCTGCAGTCAGAGGCAGTGAAGCTCCTGGCTTCATTTTAAATACCTACAGAGCTGCGCTGTCACGGTGGAACCTTTTACAAATGCATAAACAGTGCCTTAACCTGTACTTGGTCTGATGGAGGAAGAGGAGGAGACTGAAGGGTATAAGCTGCGGTGCCTAAAAATAATTGAAAGCAGAAAACTACATCGAGCATTTGGCAATCCGAAAGATCAAAGAGCTGTCTGCAGCCATTCTCCAAACAGCTCTTTCATCTCGACATGCCCAGTGTCCATGGTGCCTGTCTATACATGCGCAGCTTTCTCATCTACCTTCACAAGACCAAAGCATTTCCAACACCCAGGAGGAGAGGAGGCACTAGCCCCAGACCCCTGGCTATGCAGGGATTAAAAAGAGGAAGGGCCTCTTTTAGGAACACTCATCTTTGTACCTTTAGCGGCATAACATGGCAGAGGTGAAAGACGGACATATTTAAACCAAACCGTCAATAACTATCATAGTGCTTCCTATACGTACTGCAAATGTGGGATCTAAACGGGTAAATGATACCCAACACCCTCTCTCCTGTCACTCGGACCTCTAGCCGCTCTCTGAAATGAAATACATTCCCGGCTCCTCTGCAGGAAATTGCTTTTGTTCAGAACCAGGGCATGAGAGTGAGGATAGATACCCCCCCCCCCCGGGGGGGTCCACGGGCAGCAGCTTCACCTCCAGGCCGTGAGGCGAGATCTTCAGGTACTCGCTGACATCATTGCTATTCAGCATGGCCCTGATGTTACTCAAGTCCACTTTCTCGTAGGTCAGCTGCCTGCCTTCTTTCAAAACTGCAAAAAGAGAAAGTGTCACGTTGCTAAGCCCCACTGTGGTGGGGAGAAACAGTGAGATGTCAGTGCCATTCCTGTTCAGAAGCGGAGGTGCTCAGGAGGGGCGGGGTTCTAGGGGAACCTGCAGCCTCGGCTTTGCGGCTACACTGCTGGATGACGCTGGGGAAGGCGGCACTGCCGGGCTTGTGCTTTTTGCTCCCCATATTCATTACAGGAAAGCCTCAGAGATACTGCGGGTTCTGTTCCAGACACTGCAATAAAGGATTGCAATAAAGCAAGTGACATGGATCTTCTGGTTTCCCAGTGCAATAAAAAGAGGCCTGCCTGTATTTTATACGCAACAAAATCGGAATTGCAGTTTTCCAGTATTCTTTGACTGGCGGAACACAGCTGTGCGCTCAGCCAGACCCCACAATGCTGCGGAAGCAGCAGGGGTTACATGTCCAATTGCGCTTCAGCACAGGTGGGAAGGGAGGAGCTACTGGTAAAATGGTTTTATTCTAGCAGCCCTTGGAGAAGAGAAAACTCAGGAGCCACCCTGTTGTGTAGGTAAGACATGACTTGAGTTTTGTTTTGTAAACATATTTTTAAAATATATTTTTATTGATTTCAGAGAGGGAAAAGGAAAGATAGAAACATCAAGGTTGAGAGAGAATCATTGATTGGTTGCCTCCTGCACGCCCCCTACTGGGGATCAAGCCTGCAACCTGGGCACGTGCCTGACCAGGGTTCGGAATCGTACTGTGACCTCCTGGTTCACAGGTCATTGCTCAACCACTGAGCCATGCCAGCTGGGCCCTGACTTGAATTTCGAAGAGTCAAGATGGGACAGAGAGAAGAGTAAAGAGAGGAAATGCCTGGTGGGGGAATAGGCCCAGAGGGCGGAACGATGGGGCCCTGCTTGTTGGACAGCAGGAGACAGTGTGTGCTGGGAAGAGTGGATCACGTGGTGCCATCTGGTTAATGGCCTTGCTGCAGCAGGAAACAGGGCAGCAGTAAGTTTTAGAAGGGGAGAGCGCTGGAGCCAGAAGCACCCCATATCAGTCCTGTCTGAAGGGCCCCTAGAACATGTTTCTGCTAGAATATAGCCCACCTACACGTAGAGGTACTCATAAGGAAAGACCCATGCTCACTGCTACAAACTGAAGGCCAGAGATCCTATGTAAGAAATGGGCTTGGGCCCCAACTGGTTTGGCTCAGTGGATAGCGCATGGGCCTGCAGACTGCAAAGTTCCAGGTTCAATTCCGGTCAAGGGCACAAGTCTGGCTTGCGGGCTCAATCCCTCTAGGCGGGGGCGTGCAGGAGGCAGCCGATCAATGATTCTCTCTCATCATTGATGTTTCTATCTCTCTCTCTTCCTCTCTGAAATTAATAATAAAAATGTGTTAAAAAAAAAAAAAAAAAGTGGTTTGGGAACAGAAACTTACAGAGATTGTCCAAGCTCCACTGGGCGCAGAAACCAACTTGACGTTTCAGATAATCGGGATCGTGCGTCCAGGACTCCAGCGTGACCAGCCGGTTACTGATGCTGGACTCAGAGATAGTCAGCTTATTTTCACCTGTTTGGAAAGACGTAAACCTTGAATGGACCACGAAGGAGTAAGAGGATTCGCTGGACGGATTAGTGGTGGGAAGGAGTGAGGAGAGGCAGAGAACTTGGGAGACTAGAATAATGACATAGCTCAAGAGCTCTGCTATTTTCTAGAAAGTAGCAACCTCATCGCTAACGTTTTAGCTACAAAAAGTGTAATCGTGGTCACCAAGTTTTGATTCTTGGGTGAGAACCTCTTGCCTTTGTCTCTGGTACATCTCACTGGCCTTGAGGTGTCTACACAGACAAAAACAGGATGTATGCGTGTTCCATGGGGCTCCAAGCATAGACTCATCCGGTAACCGAGAGAAGTCAGATTTTTAACAACCGATACGTAAGATCATTAGTGCAAGAAGTCACTATACCTACTTGTCTGTGCAAACTTTTCCAGTGCGATAAGTGCAAAAAGCATGACTGTGGGGTGGGACTGTAACTTCTGAAAGACAACAAAAGATAAAAAAACAAAAAACAAAAACATCATTTCCCTGCAGCGGCGGCAGTTAACAACTTCCTCTTCTTACCCAATACGCTAGATTTTTGTTGGAACAGTCAGGCCTCCGTTACCCTTTGCTAATACTGTTAGTAACGAGGAACCGAGACAGAGTCTCTCCGAGGCTTATATTATTTTCTTGAGGTTACAGGGTTCAGTTAGAGTTATGGAAATTCCAGAAGTATCTGGCTAAATGCACTATGTTATCTTACTTAGCAGCATTTATATTAAGGCTTTATGAAGTAAAATAATACCGATTCTTACATTCATTTAAGCAAGCCAAACAGAAACCTAGAATTGTAGCAAAAAAATGACTTTTTATTCAGCGCCCTAAAAAGAACAATTCACCATTGCTGGGTTCTAAAATAATAACGGAATTAACAACTAGCGGCTTAGTTTTCAATCTGTTCTCTGAAAGGAATGCCACATGCTGACGGCAGGTGGGAAAGCACATGAGCTCTTTCAGGGACACTTCAGTTCACGCCCCATGAGCTTACTTATAAGAAAAGCCTGCCTGCTTACCTTCACCTCTCACAGCCATGCTTTCACACAGCTAGGAGCTCATGGACATCCAACAAGTCCCCTCACTTCCCTGGCGCCCAAGGAGGTTCTGCAAAGCTCACAGAACCACCATCCTCCCCGCTGCAATCCTGCTCAGCATCCTGCTTCACACCTCACTGCCTGGCTTTTGGGGCCCTCGGCCTCCCCTTTGGCTACTCAGTCTATGTCCTCCTGTCTCTGAACACTATCCTCCAAGCAGACAATTCCCTGTAATATGCCCGGAACACGGTCTGGTCTGTCTGTGGGCTCTGCCCGCGATGTGCCGCTGGCTCAGAGACTCACGTTTTGCTCCCTGTGCACGATCACCTCCTAACCTCCCCGTGTGGCCAGGAGGTCCCCTCCTCCTCAGGGAGCCCGTAGCTCAGGACTCTCCCACCAGCTCCACCCATAGCTCCCACCGCCTAGCACCTCAGGACTCGCAGCACGTGGTCTGAAGGAAGCGATTGTGCCCTTGATCATATCCTGCCACAGAACGGAGGCTTATGGTCTTATCTGAGGAGTTTTGTTCCCTCAGCTAACCCAGAAACTTCTTGGTATACAATTCCGTATCCCCACAGTGGTCCCTAACATAACACTGAGTGTTTTAGGTCCACAGCACATAGTCCTAAAAGAGGGCTTTCAGATTGTGAAGGCCAATGCTGACTGCAAAAATAACTGAAAAATAAGACTGCAGCCCAGCAGCGTGAGGTCTGACAGCAGAGGCACAGCAAATCGCAAGCTTCCCCGACAATGCATCAACCCCCCAACAAGTTTTAGGAGCCTTAGTGACAGGGAAGGGGAGGAGGACTAGAGATTTAGACACATTAGGAATCTGACCTGCAGGTTTCCTGGTTTGGAATGCCATGAATTTTGTTTCCCTGGGGTGGGGGTTGGGGAGGGCGTGTCCCTACTACCATTTGCTAGACGCTAAAGACACACACACACACAAAGTCAATCATAGCCGCTATCTTGTGACTGCATTTCAAACCAGCCCAGCCCAGCTGTTTTTGCTTGTAATAAATTCCTATCCCACCCTCATTTTTTTTTTTTAAACATAGGAGGGAATAAGCACTCAGGAAACACCTGCAAATAAAATTTATAACATTTATAACTGATTCCATTCTCTGTGCCAATGGCTAAGCTGGCAGTTTTAGAAAAATGCGCCATTCTAAACGGCTAAGAATAACTAGCTTTGATGTCTCACTTACCAGACACTGTAGCAAATATTCCAGTATTCCTGGGCTAAGTAAACCTATACTTGCAGGACCTAGATGAATACAACAAACACTGGGTATAATTAAAGGAGCCATGTCAGTTTTGAGCAGTAACTGCTAGCAATACAGTAGTTTTGGCCGAACTCTTACCAAGCACTCTCCTGCACATGATCTTATTCAAGCCTCCCGCTCTGAGGTAGGGACTAGTCCTACCCCAAATCACAGATGAGCAACTAAGCCCTCCCCCGGAACCCCCCAAGTGAAGTGACTTACTCCAGGCCACATGGGGAGCACATGGCAGAGGATGAACCAGCACCCGTTTGTTCTGATTTCTAACCCATTGCTCCTTCCACCACACGTGACATAGTGAGCTAGTCCCCTGTACTTCAGTGTTAGCCTTCCTAAAATGGATACTGTTCATAAAAAGTTAAATATCTATTTCTCTTCTCAGGAACTGCTCCAATTTAAAGTTCTTTTTCCTCTTCCCCCTACCTTTTATGTCTCGAGCACCTAGATAAACTTTATAAAGTATGTGCACATATGTATATTACATACATACATATAGAATCTTTATGTTATACTAAGTTCAGCCTTTTCTCCTATTCCTAATTTTAAAGCAAGTACGTACTACTCGTTCTTTTAAATTTCCCTCAGAAAATCCTCAAAGCTTAATCAGATTGCATTTACCTCCGTGGCCTTTGTGTAATTTTTTTTGTTTTGTTATCCCTGTCCATCATTTTTGCGGGTGGGGGGAGATTCTTCCTTCTGGTACCATTATAACTTATTAGCCCTGCGGTACCATCTTCCCCTTACTGGCAAACAACTTAAGATCTTCTTGATGGAGCTCCCCAGAGTTACCTGCTAGTTTCTCGGCCAAGCAGCCCAGGACAGCAGATGTGTTCCTGTGTTTGGCAGGATGACCTGAGTCCTGGCAGGCTACTTCTCCATTTAAATTCAGAATTTCTGTCAATTTCTGGAGTGCATCCTAAAAACAAAAATGAACAAGTGGATTTGATAAATACATTACTTATTTCCCCTCCCCCCCCTCACCCAAGGTAATCCTCATAGGCAAAAGCTATAATCAGGTGTTAACTCAGAATAATCATACAGAAATGATATAATGTTACCCAATATATCACTATTGATGGAAAATATTATTTTATTAATCTGAAAGTTGTCTCACATAAATTGCTAAATTCTATTCCATTCAAAATGTAACAGTCATACCAGATATATGCTATATACTCTCAAATTATGAAATCATTTGGGTAGACTAAATCTATCAGTGCCATTATAATTTATAACAACAGGGACTAGTGATGTTGAAGTAAAAAGTTACTTTAAAATTTTTTATTTTTTTACCAAGCAAGAATAAATCTCACCAAAGCTTCTGAGGTAAGTTAGGATAAAAACAAACCTCTTATAAGCCTAAGCAACAATCAATTCATCGGTGACTTGGCTAAAGACTCTTCCCTTTTGTCCACATTGTTTTGCAATGTTGGGCCTTATGGTCTGAGGTTTAAACAAATGAAAGATGCCAGAACCCAGCATTTTAAAAAAGGATTCCAGAGAACACATGGACTAAGGCAATAAGAGTTTGAATTTGGTCCTATGTAAGGGATAATCAAGGTTATACAATCTCTAATGTTTGAATAAGACTCAAAAGTGCTTTCAGTATAACAGTTTTTTTCTTAATAGAAAATATGTAAAATTTCTGTTACGAGAAAATTGTTTAAATATAAGAAAATCAGCTTAGCAACTGATTCCTCTCTCCTAGTTTCCAAAGACTATATTTTATTTTATTTTTTTTATTTCAAAGACTATATTTTATTTTATTTTATTTATTTATTTATTTATTTATTTATTTATTTATTTTAAATCACTCTTTATTGTTCATATTATTACAAAGGTTCCTCATTTCTTCCCCCTTCCACCAGGCTCCCACCCCACCCTCCACCCCCTCCCCATCCCCCATTGTCCTCATCCAATAGGTGCACAGTTTATGTTCAGTCTCTTCTTCCCTCCCTTTCCCCAGTAGTAAATCCCTCAAAGACTATATTTTAGATTAAATGCCTCCATTTGAACATTTTTAAAATTTTAAACTAAAGCTTTATAGTGAGCCATTGATAGGAGAATGTAGAACTTCATTAGTTTATATAATGAAATTAATACCGAATCAAAACAGATACCATAAAGAGGAAATGCATTACATCAAATATTCTTTGTGGTCATTCATCCTGTTTAAGCACAGATGACAGTTTCATAAAAGATAAGTATTAACTTACTTTAGTGGGCAATGGACATTCATCTAGTAACAATGTTATAACAGCTGGTCCCAATGGATCTTCCAATGGAATAACTCTAATTAAAGACTGGACAACGTCCAACCATCCTTCATCTAAGAGCAAATGGAGAAGATTACACGATGGAGCCACTATTTTAAAAATGTGAAAATACATAACCTATGACCCAAGATGACTTCATATTAAAATAGAAACACTGTTGGCGTACATTCTGGAACTTTTTAGTAGCTAACAGTGGCATGGACATAGTCATCAATTGCTAGTAATCATGATAGAGTCAAAGAATTCAAATTTACAGGAGTCTGGTGATTTTTTTTGGCAGCTTTATTTGGAGGAAATTCAAGCTATGATTCTGGGTTCTCAAAATAAGATTTAAAAAGTTTTTGGCATTTTATTTATGACATAGGAGTTAACCGAGAAGATTAAGTATCTGATATAGTTGGCTCTATTTTCAGAATTATACTTAGCAAATTGAGGGACAAAAAGTACCCTTCCCATTTTAGAAGAGTTATGGTCCAAGATCCAGCAATACCAAAAAAAATTTCTGGTAATAATTTCCATGAGATAAAACTATTACTGAGAGCCAGGACTGGTTTTGCTCAATGGATAGAGCATCGGCTTGGGGACTGAAGGGTCCCGGGTTCGATTCCAGTCAAGGGCATGTACCTTGGTTGCGGGCATATCCCCAGTAGGGGGTGTGCAAGAGGCAGCTGATCGATGACTCTCTCTCATCGATGTTTCTAACTCTCTATCTCTCTCCCTTCCTCTCTGTATAAAATCAATAAAATATATTAAAAAACAACAACAACAACAAAAAAAACTATTACTGAGAGGTACAGCTACATATTCAGGATGCAATGTACATTTCCTACCCTTTGTCTAAGGAAATTTTCATATATTAAGGGATTTTTTTTTTCTTTGTCATACCTGTTAAGTATTTTTGAGATCTTTTATTTTTTTTTTAAAGTGGTCACACATTTCTTTATAATCATTAATTTCATAATCATTAATTCATTAGAAAGTATTTAAAAAAATGTAAAAAATACCTGTTTCTGCCATTTCGTGCAATGTAATCATTGAATAGGGAGGTTCCTGATCACTGAAAAACAAGCATTCAAGGCATCAGACTTGAAGAAATGAGAAATGACAATTCCAAACAAAAGTTTATCCTCTACCTGGCTGGTGTGGCTCAGTGGTAGATCATTGACCTCTGAGGTTACTATTTCATTCCTGGTCAGGGCACATGCCCGGGTTGCTGGCTGGATCGGCGTGTAAGAGGTAGTCCATGAATAATTCTCTCTCATCATTGATGTTCCTATCTCTCTCCCGTTCCCTCTCCCTTTCTAAAATCATTAAAAACATTTTTTTTTAAAAAAAGCATGATTTTAAAAAATAAAAATAAAATGTATTTGCTACAGCAACTCTCTCACTATATTGAGAAATGGCTCTTCTATCAGATCAACGTCACCCTTTCCTAAGCAACAAGGAGAACAATAAACACAGACCATTTTATAACTGCGGACATCCTTTTAGATGTATTCTTACTAGGCCCGCCTATCTTTCATGTCCAGTTTTATAAGCCTTATAAACTTTATAGGTTATAAAATTCTTCTCCTTCAGTAGTTTCTACAAAGCAAGCTATGTGACACTGTTTATAGACTGTCTGAGCCCTGCTTTGCCATTATATTCTCCAACGTGGCACTTCACATTTGTCCTACACCTGCCTGAGTTTTCTATCCTCAGGAGAGTTGTAACTATAATTTAGCACAACAGGTTTAAGGTAAATGTACATCACTTGACTCATGGGAGTGAATTATGTGCTTTATCAGCAAGTTCTTATAATTTGTAACATTTTTTTGAAGTTTTGAAATAAAGCTCCTACTTTGCACCTGCCTGGTGGGGCTCAGTTGTTGAGCGCATCAATCTGTGAACTTAAGAGGTGATGGTTCGATTCCGGGTCAGGGCACATGCCCAGATTGCAGGCTCAATCCCCAGTGAGGGGGCCTGCAGGAGGCAGCAGATGAGTGATTCTCTTTCATCCTTGATGTTTCTCTCTCTCTCTCCCTCTCCCTTCCTCTCTGAAATCAATAACAGATATATTTTTAAAAAATATTTTAAGCTCCTACCTTGCCTCCAGACTCTCTGAGTCACTTTTTAAAATATAAGGCAAAGTCTATTCTGTATTGGTTTTTCCAACGGGCTAAAATAGCATTTTTATGGTTTACTTCCTTATTTGGGAGGGACAACTTTTCACTACAATTTTATGGTATGTTTTAAATCTCACCATGAGAAATTTTATATGACAGCTTCTAGTCCCTTGCTTCAGTTTGGAGGATGTAAATGGCATAGATTTATTCAAAAGGTATTTCCTACAAATATATTAAGATTACATTAAATTAATTCAGAACTACTGCAAAGGCTGGTTTTAAAGAACTTAGGAAGGCCTTTCTGAACTGCTATTCAGAATATATATAAGAAACACTTTTCCCCAGCATGTTCTATAGCAGATAAAAAGATGTGCAGAACAGCCTGGCTAGCATGGCTCAGTGGTTGAGTGCCAACCTGTGAATCAGGAGGTCAGAGTTTATTTCCTGGTCAGGGCATATGCCTAGGTTGTGGGCTCGATCCATAGTGTGGGGCGTATAGGAGGCAGCCAATAGATGATTCTCTCTCATCAATGACGTTTCATCTCTCTCTCTCTTCCTCTCTGAAATCAATAAAAATCCATTAAAAAGATGTGCAGAACAAATTTCTTTCTACGAGGGAAAACAAAAAACCCACCTCAACATAACATGTACAGGTATACTTTGCTTTATGCTATGATTTTTGAGGGACTAAACAAAATCACATTCTAAAAATGTGATTATCAAATATTTAGACAACTAAATTTACTAGCAGAGCTTGAAGGAAAAACAATTCAGATATAACTTATAAAAAGCATTTTCATTATCCCATGACAATCCCTCTAAGAAAGGCATTATTCCCCTTTTAAAGATGAGGAACCTGAGGCTTAGAGAAGTCCCTTACCTGCGTCATGTAGCTAGTGAGGGGGCTGGGTTAGAATTGAATCTTGGTCCATCATGGTTCATCAAAAGTTCGGAAACTTTTGCTCCTAACTACCACACTGTGTGGTTCAGTTCAAAGCTGTTTTCAGTTTGAGCAATGCCCTTTGATTTCACCATTATTCAATCTGGGATGTCGTATTTAAGTTAGACAAAGCAGAGGGAAACATAAGATAGATACAGGTGTGCCCTGAAGTTTCAACTTATAATTTTCCCGAAAGGACCTAAGAGGATTAAACAGGGAGATTAAAAGAGAGCAGGATGAAAACTCCTTGATCTATGCTCTTATGTTGCCAACACAAGATGCGTGCAGCCATGCTCTGAATTTCTGGTCAGAGGAGTAGTCAGGATAAAAGTGAGTCTTCGTGAAACCATTTCCTATGGTAGCCCTCAATACACACTCACTTCATACTTACTATATTCCCTATAAAGACCATAGATTTAGCCGGGATTGGTTTGGCTCAATGGATAGAGTGTCGGCTTGGGGACTGAAGGGTCCCAGGCTCGATTCTGGTCAAGGGCATGTACCTTGGTTGCGGGCATATCCCCAGTAGGGGGTGTGCAAGAGGCAGCTGATCGATGACTCTCTCTCATCGATGTTTCTAACTCTCTATCTCTCTCCCTTCCTCTCTGTATAAAATCAATAAAAATATATATATATAAAAAAAAGACCATAGATTTAATTAGTGTTTTCTGCTATAGAAATATTTAGACAGCCCTAGTCAGACTAAATACTTGGGCTCAGTGGATAGAGTGTTGACCTGAGGACTGAAGCGTCCCTGGTTTGATTCTAGTCAAGGCTCATACGTCGGTTGCAGGCTCTATCCCAGGCCTCGGTCAAGGAGGCAACCAATTGACGTATTTCTCTCACATCGATGTTTCTCTCTCTCCCCTCTCTGCCTCTCCCCCTCCCTTCCACTCTCTCTAAAAATCAGTAGAAAAATATCCTTAGGTGAGGATTGGAAAAAAAAAAAAAAAAAAAAAAAAAAAAGGAAATATTTAAACATTTCCATTGGGAGTAGATGTTAGTAAGTAAAAACACCCAACTATAAAATATACTCTGCCACCAGAGGAGAAATAAAATATTCTCCCTTGCTCTATGAGCTCAAGGCTTGGCGAATACATCCTGTGAACTCAGGAGTCCAAGAGTTACGGTTCCTGGCAGAACACTTTTCATTACACAGAGGGCGACTGTGACTCCGATACTTACTTATCTACAAGAGTCCGTATGACTGCCAGTGTGTCCAGCACTAACCCATCTACGTTTTGTTTCTTTCTCCGTGGTTCGTGTGGTCCTCGGCCCCTCCGTGGTGGCCGGACAGGATCCCGGGGTTGGTTTCTTATGTCCACAGTGGGGACTGCATTGTTCTCGGCCTGTTGCTGCTGGGTGTCAACACTATCTTCTGCTCCACTGTCATCTCGGCAGATACAGGAATTCCCCATGGCAGCAGCGGCGCCCTCAGTCCCCAGCAAGTGGGCTATGTGTTCCTCAAGAGTCAACAGCAGACCCTGGCCAAGGCTTCTGCTTGCTAAGAACACGGCCCAACCAAAGACAATCATTTAGATAGTTTTCAGTTTTCCAAGTATTGTTTTCATAATCCAGGGTTGAGACACTTGCATCCTATCTGTTTGTAACAACTGAATGCTGAAGAAAGGTGAAGAGTTGATCTCCAACATTCTCAGTTACAGGGAATCCTGGTCATCCAGCAGCAGTTCTAAAAGAAAAAGAAAATAAAAAAGGAAAATGAACCAAAGGTTTGTGGCTATTCAATAACTCAAACTTTGCTAGTTTGATTTCATAGACAGTGGGATTACAGTGAAGAATCGTCTTTGGTTATTTTTATACGTTTCTGACTCAAAAAAGTATCTCCGCATGAGAGAATTAACAATCAATAATTTTTATCATCCTATATTATAAAAAGCCTGTGGTTGGGTTGCCCTCACGGGGTAACAACCAATCAGCGGGAGGCTGCATGCGTGTGCAACCCGCTAGCGGTTCTCAACCTGTGGGTCGCGAGCTGAAGAGCCTGAGACCATTGGAAAACACAGGTATTTACATTACGATTCACAACAGTAGCAACGAAAATAATTTTATGGTTGGGGGGTCACCTCAACATGAGGAACTGGATTAAAGGGTTGGGGCATTAGAAAGGTTGAGAACCACTGGGTTAGGGTGTCAAGGTGGGGCGGAGGGCAGGTGGGCGGGGTGTATGCTGGTGGGCAGGGCTGCGTGATTTTGAGCACCAGGTCACTAGTTACATTATAAAATTGATTGCTAAACCATATCTTTGTAAACCACCGGAGTTACCATTGATTTTTATTATGATGATGATGATGATGATGTGTGGTTCTATATACAGAACATTAGAAAAATGTGTACAGTTGGTCAAGGGTTCCTTTCTTGGATAAAAAATGAATTGCCTACTTTCTTACTTTATATGTATGAGAAAATTTAATGTTTCAAATAAAATATCTAATTACAGAGGTTTGTTGTTAAAAAAAAAAGTGTGATAAAATTGTGATATCAAGAAGAATAAAAGGATAGAGCGTTCCACTTAAGTTACCCAAACTACAATGGTTTCCCATAGAAGCTCTCTTGAGAATTTACAGAAATCATACAAGTAGTTACAAAGTTTTTCTGTTATCTAAGCCAGATTCAGTTTGGGGAAAGCAGATGCAACAAGGTTGCATTTTCACAATGACCAGTTTGTTGTACAACATAGCTGCTACAAAGTCAAGAATAAGGACGCACCATTGTGTTTGAGAATACTGACCAAGCACCTTGGGTCAGGCACTGGGAGAACAAGGCATGGTCCCTGTCCTCCAAAAATTCACGGATGGCCATTTTCACCTCACACAGTATCTTCATCACTGAAAACCGAATGATAGAACTAGCTCTTCATTAAACGGAAAACCTGGTTAGGTCTAGAAAGAAAGATTTAGAAGCAGGAGACTGACATGGGGCTGGTAGCAAAAAATAAAAAAATCATGCCGAGACCTGGAAAGTAGGACCCATTAAGACCCAAATGGACTCAGAAAGAACGAAAAACATTTACTTACTTATAATTATTAAGTCCTCTGATATTGAATAATGGCTCAGGAATAAATATAAATTAAATATATAATTTGGTGGGATTAGAAGCAAGAGAAAAATTACTTCCATTATTTGAACAGATTGGCAATAAATCATTTTAAACATATGTCCAGTTTAATTATCGCTCATAAATGCGGGTGGGACTTGAAGAGACAGATAAGATGGAGATAGAAAGTTTGTGTGTACTAGGTATACCGGTTAATAATACAGATTCCCTCCCCCGCCCCCTCCCCAATAGATGGAATTACACATATGTGAGTTAAAAAGTGGTTGGATCACAAATTTTAAAATTTTATTCTATCCAAAACTTTTTCGCTAATGCTAATATATTAGTAAACTGAATGCATAATAATTAATCTATGCAGCTCTCCATTTAGAATAGTCTCAAAGTAAATGGAAGATATCCAATACATACAAACAGGCATTTTTCAAAAATATGACTAAATTTGGAGGTGAGAAGACAAAAACTGTGTTTTGGTGTGTTTTTTTTGGTCTATTTCTAAATTGAACTCAAGTGTAGCTTGGGTCAATTTCTTCTAAGTCACTTTCTTTATTTAACCCAGAAAATGATGTCAACTACAAAATTTGTCAGAGAAGAAAAATAAGTAAAAAAAAAAAAAAAAAAGAAAAAGTTTTCAAATATTTTAAAACCAAAGGCTTCCTTTTTAAAGAACTAGCTGTAAAGACCCGGTGTAGAGAAGAGATGAAATATAATAGGTGGGAGAAGCTGTGAGGCATTTCAAAGGCAAGGCTATAAAACATACAAGGAAAAAATATGAGCTATTCTCTTTTGAAATGTTCCGAAATGAGCATATACAGAGTGCTTTTGAAGTTATGGCCAAAGGCAGGGCACATAAATAAGCGGAGGGCATGATCTTTCAGATTTATGCAGCGCCGAGAAGCCTATAGCTCTTCCTCTGGAAAAGGCTGTCACTCCTGATACTTTCCTCAGAGAACAAACTGTGAATAAAAACTTCAGGCAAAAGCCTGGGCCGTGAAGTTAAACAATTACTCTTTAGGGAGCTTTATCTCATTCCAGAAGCATCATGTGGACCATTGTTTTAAGACAGTAACACTCGGCCTCCAGAGCTGGTACAGGATGCCAGAGGCCAGGACAGCACAGGGGAGGGGCTCTGCAGTCATAAAGACTGGGCACAGGGCCCGGCCTGCAATGTTGACAACTAAGCATTCTAATCCCCTGGCTATAGGCACACTTCTCAAACAGGGAGAGAGGAGTAGTTCTTACAGCTCACAGTGCCACTGTGAGGTTTAAATCAAACAGTGCTTGTAAGACGAATGGCATAGTGCCCGTGCTTAAAGGATCCCCAATGCAAAATGTTCTTAGGAAATGAGACCTAGCTGGTCCAAGGTAACAAAGTAATCTGGGAGGTGGGTCTTTGGAGTGAGACTTAAGACATGAAGATAACTAAACAGTTTATCTTTTCTAGAACTCATCTACCTTGTACTGAAATAACCTTCACTTCGCTCTATAATATTTCCAGATCTACTGACTGAATGGATGGACAAACTGAAACACGAATGTGTGACTCTTTTGGGTTCAAGAAAGTTAGCTTTCTTCCCAGGAAAATGAATTGTGACTATCTTTGGATGGTCAGCCAAAATACCCACCAGATCACAGTTACATCCATTAGTCATTATGTACAATGCATAGCAACACAATGAATAAAACAACTCCCCATATATCTCCCCAGATCTACCCTATGGAGCATCATTATGAACCTAGATGGTACCTTGCTCTTGGGCAATAGAGGTTGACAGATAGAATGAAAGAGAAAATGAATAAGACTAGAGATTATGTAAACCTGTAATACCTAGATCTTTCACCTTAACTTTGAAGACTACTTAGCATTAGATGGGCAGTCAAGTCCATTTGAGACCAAAGACAAGCTGGTCACAAAGTTTAAATATACACAACTATCAAATCTGAGGCCATGGCAATCATCACCTGATATGGCAATTATCAATTATATTAATGATGATGATACCACTGGATGCCATTGCTTAGTAGAAAGACTTCTCACCATCTAAATGGTAATGCTTTTTAAATCATTATATTGTTCATAGCAATTTTTCTGCAGGAGCATAGTTATAATCAAGCATTTCCTTTATGAATCTATTTCTCTGAAGAGTCGTATTAATTTTGATTTCTTCTATTTTTTAATTGATTTTAGAGAGAGGAAGAGAGAGAAAAGTTGATATGAAACTGATCAGTTGCCCTCCCCCACCCACATGACCTGACCAGGATTAAGTGTGCAGCCTGGTGTATATCTTCACAGGGAATGGAGTTTGCCACCTTTTCGTGTATGGGATGATGCTCCAACCAATGAGCCACACCGGCCAGGATTGACTCTTTTTTAAGAAGTAAAGACTATTCCTTCCCCTTCTGTGTTATTTATGATTTATTAGATTTTTATATTTTATAAAGCTGCTCTGAGAGGGGAAAAAAATCCAACTTGGGTTCTCAGTAAGTTTTGTGTTAAAGCAATGAGGTCTGGTACTCAAAACACAGATCTCTACCATCTTAAACACCTCACCACAAGAGACATCTGGCCAACTGGCCTACTCCTCTCTAACAAATGGTCCAGGAATCAATGATTCAGCTCTTCAAATATTTGCTTGCATTTGATCAGAATACAACTCAGTGACATTAAGTAAGAACACTTTCTTTTCTCTGAAAATAGGACATCAGGATTATGTTGCCAAGAAAGGAGAGGCTGGTTAAATAAATGACCATAGGAATAAAAACCAAACTGTGGGCATGAAATGACTTCATCATTCCCAAATAGTGTTGCAGGATGCAGCATTTTTTCCCCAATCCACTTCTCACCACTCAAGGCTAAATCACAGAGCATAAAAAGTAACAAAATGTAATGCACTGGAAATGTCTATGATTTTCTCTCATTAGAAAATGTTTTGAATGTTTTCCTAAGGCAGTATTAAAAGTGATAGTTCTTTATGCATGTTTATTAGCCCCTACTTTTATTATGAAAAATTTTATACACAGAGCAAAGTTGAATTTTACAGTGAACACCTAGTGGATTTTACCATTAACATTTTACTATACTTGCTTTATCACATATCTCTCCAACCCGGGCATGTGCCCTGTCTGGGAATTGAACCATGACCTCCTGGTTCATAGGCAGACATGTTGTGGGCTTGATCCACAGTAGGGGATGTGTAGGAGGCAGCTGATCAATGATTCTTTCTCATTAAAAAAAAAGAATTAATTATAGAACAGTCTGATATGAAACAGTACAATAGAGAAAAGACAAATCCTTTCAGCATTCAAAAAATGTATTAAAAGTTAAAAATTAGGGCTGGGACAGATTAAGAAATTCCCAGAAGCAAATAATAGTTAAAAAAAAAAAAAGAAGAAGAAAGAAAGAAAGAAAGAAAGAAAGAAAGAAAGAGGAAGTAAATAATCCTTGCCAGGTCTCGAGACTGA